GTCTCAGACACAGTGACGGTCTCAGACACAGGGACGGTCTCAGACACAGTGACGATCTCAGACACAGGGACAGTCTCAGACACAGGGACGGTCTCAGACACAGGGACGGTCTCAGACACAGTGACAATCTCAGACACAGTGACGATCTCAGACACAGGGACAGTCTCAGACACAGGGACGGTCTCAGACACAGGGACGGTCTCAGACACAGGGACGGTCTCAGACAGACACAGGGACAGTCTCAGACACAGGGACGGTCTCAGACACAGAGACGGTCTCAGACACAATTGCAGTGTCAGAAACCCACAGGCGCGGGTCTGCCCTCATCCGCAGGGTCGCTGTGCGTCAGAATCGCTTGATGACTGAGCTTGTGTTTTGTGAAGGTTGATCATTGACCCGTTTCCAGGACTGCTCAGTCACCCCTGACTGCAGTCTGAGTCCTTACGCTCAACTTCAGACAAGTTAGAGACTCTTCCCCCGGGGCTGCTGGGAGACCCTGACCCATGTCCTGGCAGTGTCCCTGGTCTCTGTGTGACCTTTTGTCTCCTTCCAGGTGCCATGTTCTGGGGCCTCTTCCACAATAGCTCCTCAGGCAATTCAACGGCTCTGACCCCAGGCCGCGCACAGCTCCTGGCCCCTGGGCTAGGGCTACCCTCAGCTCTGCCCGCCCTGCATTTGCTGCATGATCGCTTGGGCCACCTGCCCTGGCCACGCCTACTGGAGGGCCCCACCACATTGGCTCAGGAGGGCTTCCTGGTGGACGAACCGCTGGCAAAGGCACTGGCAGCCCAGGGCTCCAAGGGGCTCTGCCCCCTGCTTTGCCATGCCGATGGAAGCCCCCTGGGCCTTGGGACCCGAACCACCAACCCCAGCCTGGCAGCTGTGCTACAGAGAGCAGCGCTCGCCCCGACCCCAGGCCTCGCCGGGAAGGCCCTCCTGAGTCTGATGGGCAGTGACCTGGGGCTGGAGGGCCCCTCCGCTGAGCCAGCGCCCACCTTGGAGCCAGCCCTCCAGCTGTCTCTGCCCCAGGGCATCTTGTTCACCACCCCCAGCCCATCAGCCGGCCCAGAACTGCTGGCCCTGCTGGAGGAGGCCCTCCACTCCGGGAAGCCCAGCTTGGATTCCTGCCCCCCACTCCTGCTAGCCGCCGGGGCCCCTGGGAGCAGTGTCCTGGCTGCCATCGATGGCCGTGGCTCGGTGCTCCTCCTCGCCTCCTCAGTCAACAGCTCTTTCGGCTCCAGACGCCTGTCCCCCAGCACGGGGGTTCTGCTCAGTGACCTGGTGGCCAGCTCCGCGACCAGTGCCTGGGCCTGCCCCCTCCTTCTCCACAGCAACACGGATGATGCGGAGGCTGATGTGTTGGGGCTGGTAGCTTCTGGGGCCCCCAAGGTGGCCAGGGCTGTGACAAGTGCGCTGCTCAGACACCTGGAAGCACCCCAAACTCAGTCCCACCAGCACCACCACCAGCACCACCACCAGCAAGGACCCACAGAGGTTCCCAGTACTTGTGTCCAGGGGACGTTGCTCCAGGTGACAAGCCACGCAGAACACGCTCATGTCTCCAGTGTCCCCCCTGGCTGCTGCCCCTTCCAGGGTGTCTAACCAAGGAGGCTCTGGCAAGCCCAGGGTAGTGGCATACCTCTAAAGTACTCACTGCTGGCTCCCAGGCCCACCTCTGACCTGGTTCTCTGGCCATTCAGGGCTAGCTCTAGCTTCCAGGCATCCCTACTGGACAGGGTTTCCGGCTCTTTTTTTTTTAAAATCCCAGCTAAGGAGCCTGATTTGAATGAGAGCTAGCTCACCTGGGCTTGAGTTCAGGGGAGAGGGCCATGCCTAGGCCTAGGCCTAGGCTCTGTGCCCCACGTGGCATCCTGGGGTGTCGCCGGGATCTCTATCTACCCCTGGGGACCCCCTGGGCCTGGTTTCCACAGCACTGTCTCCTGCATGCCAAGATGACCCTCTGCCGCCCCCAGCAGAAACAGGAAACAAAATAAACACCACCTCTCTTCCTGGCCCTTAGTTTATTTCCCATAAGCCTTTGAGGCAGCTGGAGTCAGCACCTCCCCCACCCCACCCTCAACCTGGGGGCAGCTCGGGAGACCCCCTACCCCCACCCCACCCGGGGCCTTGTCAGCTGCTCCCTGCTTCCTGGGCCACTGTCGGAATACATGGAAAACCATCTAAATCAGCGGTTCTACAACTTCCTCATGTCGCGACCCTTTAACACAGTTCCTCATGTTGCAGTGACCCCCAACCATAAAATCATTCTCATTGCTACTTCATCGCTGTCATTTTGCTACTGTTATGAACTGGGCGACCCCTGTGAAAGGGTTGTTTGACCCCCAAAGGGGACATGACCCACAGGTTGAGAACCGCTGGTCTAAATGATTCCGACTCACGGTGATCCCACGAGAGTCAGAAGTAGAACTGGGCTCCACAGGGCTTTCAGGAACTGATTTTTCAGCAACAGGTCACCAAGCCTTTCTTCCGAGGTGCCTCTGAGCACCAGGAAGGACAACCTTGTGTTAGACACAGAGTGAATTAAGCATGTGTACCACCCAAGAACCCCTGTGCACAGCCAACCTCCCCGATTGCACTTTTCCCTACAGGGTGAGTAGTGACGCCCCGAGGTCTGGATGCTGAGGGGCCAAAGCATGGGTGACCCTGAGGGTGGGGTACCTCTGGGCTCACAACCCTCTGGAGCCACTTTCTCAGGCCTCTCCTCCAAGATGGGGAGTGGCCAGCCAAGCCCCACCCCACCCCCTATTTAGAAAAAGTCTTTAATAGGACTCTCAACGCCACTCCCACCCACCGCCAAAAATCATGCCTAACTCAGTAAAACCAACTCAGTTTCTTGTCTCCAAGCCTGTTAAAAGTCACCCTGTTTTCCTCTTCGCAGGCTCCCAATTCATCCACCATTAAAAAATTTTTTTTTATTTTAAAAAAAGAGCATCCTCTATGTGTTGGGGTAAACTGCGCTCTGTGGTTTGTTGTTTGTTTGTTTTGTTTATTTTCTCTTTTGTTTCTGTTGTTGAGAATACACACAGTAGACCACACCCCACAATTCCCACCTGTGCAGTCGAGTGGCTCTGATCACATTCTCCATGTTGTCCCACCCTTCACACCCTTCACAGCCTCCGTTTTCCTAACTGTCCCTCCCTCAGGGACATCCACTCACTGCCGTCCAGTCGATTCCAACCATGGAACCTTGTAGGACAGAGTAGAACGACCCCTGGGGGTTTCTGAGACTGTAACTCTTCATGGGAATGGAGCGCCCATGTCCCCATCCTTCTCCTTCGGAGCAGCTGGTGGTCTCCAACAGCGGACCCTGCAGTTGGCAGCCCAGCAGCCCAGCACATAAACTACAATGCCATCAGGGCTCCTGCCACAGACTCTGTCCCCGCAGGTTCCTGTGTAATCTTTCAATCCCGTCTAGATCATTTTTTAATGGTTCATCGTGGTTTCAATGGCTGGTCTTTGGGAGCATCTCTGGGTGGACACCCACCACAATCACCCAATGAACTAATTCCATCTCACAGTGAGCCTACAGGAGCGAGTACAACTACCCTGTGAGGGTGGGAAGCAGACTGCCCCAGCTTTCCCCCATGGGACAGCTGGTGGGCGTGGGCTGCTGAGGGCTAGCCACTCCTTTTGTGGTTAGTAGCTGTATTAGTCTAGGAACTTTAGAGAAACAAATCCACAGCAACTCATGTATAAGAGAGTTTTATGTAAAGAAAGTGTGCATCACGAAACATCCCAACCCAATGCTGCCCAAGCCCACAAGTGCAACATTAACCCATTAACCCAACAACGTCCACAAAGTCCTCCACCTCACAAAACAGAGGCAATGATGCCGACTGCAGGAGGAAAGCTGAGTCAGTGAACGAATAAGCATCTCAGCACTAGCAGGGGTCTCCACACGGCTGCTCCAGCACCCAGGGCTGCATCAGGATAGGTCCACGTAGCTTCTCCTTGGGGTTATCTTGTAGGAAGTCAATCTTGCAAGCTGAAGCAGGGAACTGCTAAGGCAGCTGCACGTTGGTACGACCATCACAAAGCAAGAGACCCATGAACTAGAAAGGCGAGGCTCACCACCCATTTATCCCTCCGCCTTTCAATTAGCCCCACATGTGCTTATCAGCCAGGTTGCCACAATTAACTAACTCAATTCACCCCTTGCCAACCTGGCACCTGTATATAATTCTTAGCTTCACAATTGCAATTAAGTAACACCTATACCTTAACCCTATAATCCTGTGAATTTTTCCCCCTACCTATGAAAGTTTGTAAGCCAACAACTTCATGCCTTTATCTCCCCCAATTTTGAGTATCCAGTTTAGTAGCCAAATGCTTTTCTGTCTCTACCAGCCAGGGATTCTCACCCATGACCAACTCATGACCATCATTGTAACTCATGTGACCCTGGAGGACAGATTAGGACTGCCCCATAGAGTGTCCTGGGAAGCAGAGAACAACCACATTTTCCTCTCCTGGCGTGGCTACCTTTCTGGGAGCAGTGGCTAGCCATCTTCTACCATGCCTAACCTCCCCCGGAACCCACCACCACCCAATCTATAGCAACCCGATGTAGGGTTTCCCCAAGTCTTTATGGGAGCAGACAGCCTCGTCTTTCTCCTGAGGAGCAGCTGGTGGGTGTGAACTGCTGGCCACAGTGCATACTGCCGTCCAACACTGAACACCAGCCTAACTCACCACGCCTGCCCCCTCCACTCCCCCGAATCTGACCTACTTTCATGTTATGGTTCATCTACTGTGGTTTCCAAGTGCTCTCGCTGCTTCTATCTTTGCCCTCCCACACTTCATCTTTATATATAAAGCTCTGATCTGTACCAGTGTACATCCTCTGGTCTAGCTGGATTTGTAAGGTAGAATTGGGATCATGATAGTACGGGGGGCGGTGGGTGAGGGGGGAGGCAGAGGGAGCATTAAAGAACTAGAGGAAAGTTGTTGTTTCATCGGTGCTATACTGCACCCTGACTGGCTCGTCTCCTCCGAGCAACCTTTCTGTAAGGGGATGTCCAGTTGCCTACAGATGGGCTTTGGCCACACTTTATCTTCAATACAGCTGCAGCATAGTCTTTGAAAACCAAAGTCTGATGAAGGCTTGCCCCGGGCATAAAACCCGCCAGTGACTCCCCAGCACACTCAGAATAGAAGCCAAACTCCTGCTCCTGAAGTCTCCCTTCTGAGGTGGCAAAGAAAATGAGAAACATCGGTTGTGCCAAAAAAAAAAGGGCTTGGCAGGCATGTGCAGACTATTTGCAGCACGAATCTTGCCCACTGCGGGCCCAAAGACAAGGCCATTAAGAAACTCGTACTTGGAAACATTGAGACCTTTCTGATGGAAGTGTCTGAAGCAATTGTCTTTGATGTGTAACTTCCCAAACTGTGTGTGAAGCTACATTGTTGCGAGAGTTGTGATTATCACAGCAAAGTGGTCAGGAACTGATCCTGGGAAGCCGGGAAGGACGAAAGAAAATTAAATGGAAACTGTTCTTTAGCTTAACCTGCCCCCGGCCCAGGATCCTGCCAGATCTGGTTCAGCCTCCCCCATCCTCTGCTTGCCCCTCACCTGAGGGAGGGTCTCTCCCTGCTGAGGGGTCCAAATGCCATCTCCTTAAAGCGGGCTCCCTGGCCACTGCAATGTCATAGCAGACAGACAGGTTAGATACACCGTTTCCATTGTTGAATACAAGAATGAGGGAACCAGATGGCGCACAGGACGACGGAATCCATGCTGTGAACGGATTCTGTGCGATACAGAAATGGTGGACCCTTCTGACCGTGTAATCGGAAGAGGGAACCCAAGTGTAAACAATGGGCAATAATGTATCCATATCCGCTCGCCAAGTAAAACAAACGGACCGCAGGACAGAAGGACGGTAATGATCGTGGAAACAATGTTGAGGGGAGGTATGGAGAACTGGAGATCTCTGACCCTTTCTTGTAAACCCCAACCCGATCTAAAATCTAAAGCCAAATGAAGAACTGGGCAAAAGGATTTGAAGTGTCCCTCTGATCGCTGTCATGCTCTTTACAATTTCTCTCTTTCTACACTCCGTTTATTTATTTATTTCCTCTTTTGAAATGTGTTTGGTTACTCGCTTATCAGCTGTCTCCTCCCACCAGAGAGGAAACCCGGGAGAGCAAAGCCTTCAAACTCACACTT